AGAAAGAGAGGAGATGCTGTGCTAATGTTTGTGAGACCGCGCGAGAGGGGGGCGAGCGAAATAGGAAGGGAGACGAGACGAGAGGACGAGAGAGATAGGGGGAGAAGGCAGAGACGATCAGAGAGAGAAGAGAGACAGACAGAGGAGAGAAGAGAGAGAGAGAGTCAGACAGAGAAGAGAGGTGGGAGGAGAGAAGGGAAAGGGGACTGAGACGCGCGGGACAAACGAGATACGGGAGCGCAGAAGAAAATAGAGGGAAGGGAAGGAGGAGAGAGGTGAAGCAGAGTCGTCGTTAGACAAACGCGGAGCGAGAGACGAGCCACGAACAGGGACTCCGCTGGGTTGATCATCAGTTCTATGATGGGCTGTGTTACGATCCGACGTTCTGCGATCAGATTATCGTCACGGGGATATTCCGGTATCTACGACGTTACACGATATCAGAAGCTTTGATGTTAGAATCGCCGCGACCAGCGCGCGAACAAAGGATAAGAATGGGAGATCGGGGCGTGATTCAGGCCCGTGGCGACGAGGACAGTAATAGATAGTGGCTCCGTTCGAGGCAAAACCTGTGACCGAGCAAGACGAGAGCCTCAGTTATAATACCAAGGATTCCCTATATACTATAGATGAGGTATTTGGTATACTCATTGCACTTACAGACAAGGAAAACAGAATGGATGTCAGGATGATTACGCAAGTAGGGGAGTATGCAGAGAGAGTACGATGGGCAGTTCAGTAGGTGAAGTTTGAGTCGTGCGTAAGTGAAGGCATAAAACCTGATATATAGGTCGGTGTGGAATGGGAAAGAAAAGAAGGGAGAGATACAAAGAGAGGAGGGAGAGCAGAGCGTAGAGAGAGACGGGATAACAAAGAGAGAGAGGAGCGGAGAGAGGAGTGGAAAGCATTAAGAGAGGGGGGAGGGATGAGACGGGCAGGAATGAGGAAGAAAGAAAGCGAAGAGAATGAGCAGGCTGAGATAAGAGAAAGGAAGGAGGAGAGCGAGCCGAAAGAGAGAGAGAAAAGCGACCGAGGAGAGAGAGAGGGATGAGGAGAGAGCGAGGAGGAGAGGAGGGGGGGAGTAGAGGAGGAGAAAGAGAAAAAGAAGGAGAGGAGAGGGAGGAGGAGGAGAGGAAGGAGGAGAAGAGAACAAGAGATAGAGGAGAGAGGAGGAAGATAGGAGAGAAGAGGGAGGAGGAAGAGGATGATGAAGAGGAGGAGAGGAAGAGAGAGAGGAGAGAGAGGAAGGAGAGAGAGAGAAGAGGAAAAGAAGAGAAGGGAGAGAAGAGAGGAGAAGAGCGAGGACAGAAGATGAGAGAAGAGAGAGAGAGCAAGAGTAGAGAGAATATGAGAGAGGAGAGAGAGAGGAGAGAGGAGGAGAAGAGAGGGAAGAGAGGAGAGAGAAAGAGAAGTGAGATGGAGAGGAGAGAAGAGAAGAGAAAGAGTGAGGAAGAGAGCGCAAAAAAGAGCTTGAGAGTAAGAGAGAGAGAGAGAAAAGAATGCAGAGAGATGGGAGATGTGATTGAGAGGACGAAACGATCAGTGATCGAGGAGAGAGAGAGAGCAATCAGAAGTAGAGCGAGATCTCGCGAGAGGAGGAGCACAGAGAAGAGAGAGAGGAGGAGAGGGAGAGGAGTGAGAAGAGAGAAAAGAGAGAAGAAAGATGAGACCGCCAAGGCAGATCATGAGAGAGGAGAGAGAGACAGTGAACTCCGACGAGGAGAGAGCAGAGAGAAAGAGAGGGAGAGATAAGAGAGATGAGAGAGAGAGAAGAGAGAGAGAGAGAGTCATACATGCTGCAGCACAGGTTGAGGGTGAGTCGTAAGATGACTCTCGACGCTAGCAGATCTTTAAGCGTCGCCTGGCTGGTCAGCTCGCTGACTTCAATGTTGTTCGTCTGCAACAGAAACGTTTGGCACAGTGGGTTTATTGGTTGCGTGCAACACGGTTGCCGTTGTGCGAGGCAGTCAATGTTTCACTTATAGTCGCCTGGTAATGTTCTTTTGTTTGAGCGACAACCAATTAGAGGAGAAAGAGAAATATATTCTGTAAGAAATAAAATAGAAATGGGCTTTAATTCAGTGTGTAGTATATGGGTATATATATATATATATATATATATA